AAGAGTCCCCTTTGTGATCTCATCCCTATTGGTGACCCTGGTCTACAACACTTTGGACCTGGGCTAGGGAGCGGTGGAGGAGGCACTGAACCTGGGCGAGGTAAGCACCTAGGGCTGACCCATTGCGGGACAGTCTGGCCCACCACATCGTCAGGGAGCTCAGAGTGGGTCATCTGGCCTGCCAGGCTTTCTTACCCCACCTGAGGGGCACAGTGGTGCAGGTCCTCATGGACAATACCACAGCGATGTATTACATCAACAGACATGGCGGAACCAGGTTGTCAGCCCTTTGCCAAGAAGCTCTCCGCCTTTGGGACTTCTGTGTGTGGCATGCCATTCATGTGGTGGTCGTGCACCTGTCCAGGCCCAAGAATGTGCTAGCAGATCGCCTCAGCAGGACCTTCCCATCCTCCATCCGGAGGTGGCCAGTATGATCTTCTGAAAGAGGGGAACTCCCCAGATGGACTTGTTCGTCTCCTGCCAGAACAGGAAATGCCACGTGTTCTGTTCGCTCCGGGGGATGGACAGGGGTTCCCTGTCAGATGCTTTCCTTCTTCTGTGGTCGGTAGCCCTGATGTACGCCTTTTCTGTCTGTGCCATTGATCCACAGAATCCTTGAGAAGATCAAACAGGACAGGGCGAGGGTTAGCCTTATAGCCCCCGAGTGGCCTTGCTTGCACTGGTTCGGCACGCTGCTGTATCTTTCAGTAGCAGCGCCGCTGCAACTCCCTCTCTGGCAGGACCCGTTGTCCCCGAACCACAGCAGTCTCCTGCACCCGATCCTGGAAGCGTTTAACTTGACAGTGTGGCTGCTGCTTGGCTAAATGCAGAAGAGCAAGAATGTTCGACCTGGGTGCAACAGGTCTTGCTGGGTAGCAGAAAACCCTCCACCAGAGTGACCTATCAGGCAAAATGGAAAAGATTCATGTGCTGGGCCTCAGATCGGTGCGTCAGGGCTGAGCAGGCCTCTTGTAAGTGACCTTGGACTATCTTCTGCACCTCAAACTTCCGGGCTTGTCCCTGTCGTCAGTTAGGGTCTGCCTGGCTGCTATTTCGGCTTTCCATTCTAAGGCAGGTCAGTTTTTGCTCACAAACTGACGGCCCGGTTCTTGAAAGGTCTGGATCGTGTTTACCCTCACGTCTGGGATCCTGACCCTCCCTGGGATTTAAATTTTGTGCTATTGAGGCTCGTGGGGCCTCCCTTCAAGCCTCTTGCTTCCTGCTCTCTCCTCCTTCTCTCCTGGAAGGTTGCGTCCCTGGTGGCGATTGCATCCACCCACAGTGTGTCTGAGATCAGGTAACTTGTATTAGAACCACCTTATATGGTATTCTACAAGGACGAGGTCTGGTTGTGGCCGCACCCAGCCCACGGTAGTCTCCCAGTTTCATACTGGCCAAGATATTTTCTTACCGGTCGTCTTTCCAAAGCCCCATGATTCTGAAGAGGAGTGCAGGTTGCGTGCCCTGGATGTCCGGAGCGCGGTGGCCTTCTGTATTGACAGGACATGGCTTTTCTGTAAGTCAGCGCAGCTGTTTGTTGCGGAGGCAGACAGGATAAAAGGTTGCCGAGTGTCTGCTCAGAGGATCTCGTCCTGGCTCTCAGCTTGCATCCAATACTGTTATGAGCAGGTGAGTGTGACTCCACTGGCGATAGTCAAAGCATGCTTGACTAGAGCACAAGCATCATCAGCAACCTTCTTGGCTCAGATGCCAATCCAAGAGATCTGAAGAGAGGCCACCTAGTCATCTCTCCACACATTTACATCGCATTACGCACTTACTCAGCAGGCCCGAGACAATGCTGGCTTTGGTAGAGCACTATTGCAAGCTGCATAACCGTGAACTCTGAGCCCACCTCCATGAAAACTGCTTGTCCGTTCCATTCTAGGTGACTCACATGAGCAAGCACTCAAAGAATTAAAACTGGTTACCTACCTTTTGTAACTGTTGTTCTTTGAGATGTTGCTCCTGTCCATTCCATTACCTGCCCTCGTGCCCCTTTGTCAGAGTTGCCAGCAAGCACGAACTGAGAGGACATAGGGTTGGCCATGCCTGATATACTGGCGTATGAGTGCGGCATAAGAACGGCCATACTGGGTCAAACCAAAGGTCCATCCAACCCAATATCCTGTCTGCCAACAGTGGCCAATGCCAGGTGCCCCAGAGGGAGTGAACCTAACAGGTAATCATCAACTCGAGGGGACGCCACTGCCAGCTATACGGATACCGCTAAGGCAAAAATCTCCGTGCATGCGTGCACACCTAGAATGGAATGGACATGAGCAACACATCTTGAACAGTTACAAAAGGTAGGTAACTATTTTTTCCACTAAAGTTGTGGGACTGTTCGTGCTAACTGAAAAAACATCAGAGTGATTACTAGGTCAAATACCCAAAGCAGACACAGAACACTGGATCCGATTTGGAGGGCCTCATAGGTTTTCACATGGTATTTTTTTTTAATCTATTTTGACTTTAGCTTTGAGGTAGATAAGCATGAAGTGGCATTGGCTTGGAAAATCACAATGCCTGAATATGCAGCTGGATAAAGGGATAAGATATACAATTTATTAAAACTTTATAATTTGAGCTATAGTTATATGAAATCTACATAAATATTTGGGGTTCTTCTTAAATACATGCTTTTGTTTATGCTTGGGAGAATGGGGTGTAACAAGATGGAATTTTGACTTTGCTACTTGTATAATTTTGGGTGACATTGGCATACTGAAACATCTTGGGGGTGAATCACTCTCTAGGAATGAACTCAAAAACAAAGAGGTTGAGTCAGTATTTTCTTGAATAGCAAAGGATTAAGCCTCTATCAAGAAGCCTAAGAAATGAAATGCCTTTCTCATTTCCATTGTCACATTGCTCTAAATGTTGTTGTAAAGTAGAAGTTGGATTTACTTTTTGTCTATACCTTGTGTAGTTCCTTTTCAGGGACAGAACATTTAACTTGTGAACCAATTATGGCTGAGCCTTTACTGTATGTGTCAGTTTTGTCAGATGGAAGGTGATTGTTGGAGCAAAGTAAAGAGGTTAAAAAGTAAAAACTGATCTGGTTCATCAGCTGCTGCTCTCAGAATACCAGTTCTGAGCGCACTATATAGTAAAGAACAGAATTGTCAGACAGAAAGATGCACACAATATGTTGGGGAAGAGTTAGTATGGCTTTCGTAAGTGGAAATAATGCCTCCTCAGTCATTTAGAAATCTTTGAGGGGATCAGCAAGCATGTGGGCAAGGGTGATCCAGGGGATATACTGTACTTGGACTTTCAGAAAGCCTTTGACAAGATCCCTCATCAAAGATTTTTAAGCAAAGCAAGCAGTCGTGAGATAAGAGGGTAGGTCCTCTCATGAATCAGTACCTGGTTAAAAGATGGGAAATAAAAGGTAGGAATAAATGGTCAGTTTTCACAGTGTAGAGGGGTAAGTAGCGGCATCCCCCAAGGATCTGTACTGGGGCCAGTTGTTCAACATATTCATAAATGATCTGGAAAAAACACATCAGTGAGGTGGCAAAGTTTGCAGACAATATAAAATTATAGTTAAATCCAAAGCTGACTGTGAAAACTGACAAAGGGAATCTTACAAAATTGGGTGACTGAGGAACAAAATGGCAGATGAAATTCATTGTTGATAAATTCAGAATAATGCATGCTGGCAAGCGGAATCCCAAATATACATATAAAATGGTGGTGTCTAAATTAGCTGTTACCATTCAAGAAAGATCTTGTAGTTATTGCAGATGGTTCTCTGAAAACATATGCCCAATGTGCAGTGGAAGTGCACAAAGCTAACAATGTTAGGAACCATTAGGAAAGGGCTAGTTAATAAGACAGAAAATATGCTGTTGCTATATAAATCCTTGGTATGCCACACCTTGAATACTGCATGCAGGTCTAGCCACCCCATCTCAAACAAGATATATTAGAATTGGGAAAGGTACAGAGAAGGGCACCAAAAATGATTAGGGGTATGGAACAACTTCCATGCAAGGAGAGATTAAAAAGACTTGAACTGTTCAGCTTAGAAAAGAGACGACTGAGAGGAGGGAGATATTAGAGGTCTATAAAATCACGAATGTTATGAAGAAAGTGAATAGGGAAGTATTATTTACTCCTTTGCATAACCCAAGAACCAGGGGTCACCCAATGAAATTAACAGGCATCGGTTTAAAACAAATATAAAGAAATACTTCTTCACACAATGCACAGCCAACCTGTGGAACTTGTTGCCAGGGGACATTGTGAAGGCCAAAAATATAGGTCGGCTAGAAAAAAAAAATTAGATAAGTTCATGGAGGTTAGGCCCATCAATGGCTATTAGCCAAGATGGTCAGGGGGACAACTGCATGCTTTGGGTTTCCCTGAGCCTCTGATTGCTAGAAGCTGGGACTGGTCGATGGGATGGATCACTCAATAAATTGCCCTATTCAGTTCATTGCCTCTGAAGTATCTGGCACCGGCCACTCTCAGATGATAGGATACCATTGGTCTGACCCTGTTAGGCCATTCTTATGCGAATTACAGGCCAGGACAGAATGGTCTATATGTACAGTATATGTATGGGTTTGTGCTGGGTAAATATCTGAAATGGAATCCCAGCAGAGACCCAGGAAGCAGCTCAGTATTTGTACATGAGTAAATTGAGTCAGACAAGATTTGCAATCTGTGTGGATCTCCCTAGATTAGTTCAGTACACAGTATTAAACTCGAGCACTTGATTATTTTTTTTTTGTACAATGACTTTCTGACATACGTACAGCTTCACTTACAATTTAAAAATAGCTATATTCACGATATAACCTGAGATTTAATCTTTGCTGGAACAAGTCTTAGTGTATTAGGCAAATTTACAGCTTGATGATATGATGATCCTGTTTGTGTATTTTGTCTTGTAAATTTTGTTTCTTGTAGATGGATTGTCTCTTAAGAAAAACAAAATTGCAAATTCTGTATTTTTTAATATAGCACTTTTTTCTAATCTATTTTAGGTGTCAAAACATAAAGATGGAAAAGAGCAGAGTGAAGTTGTATCGCCATTGGAGGAAGAAGAAACATTCTCTTGGCCTGGTCCAAAAACAGTTGTGTTAAGGAGGACGTCTCAGGGTTTTGGTTTTACCTTAAGACACTTCATTGTCTACCCTCCCGAGTCTGCTGTTCACTTTTCTTTTAAAGTAAGTGAAATGAATGAGTGATATTTTTCAAAACACCTCCATATTTCAGAAACAGAGCATTATGATGCTTTGTTGGGTTTTTGTTTTCTTTTTTTCTTTTTCTTTTTTACTCCTTAGGGATGTGTGGCAATTAGGAAAAATGATCCATGTCTCACCCCCCCTTCCCCCCCAACAAACCAGCAGGAGAGTGGGTTTGTGTGTGTGTATGTGGGGGGTGTGTGTGAGAGAACCTGGATTTGTGCTGGAAATGACCCAACTTGATTATCATACACATTGTAAGGAGAGCGATCACTTTAGATAAGCTATTAGCAGCAGGAGAGTGGGATGGGAGGAGGTATTTTTTCATGCTTCGTGTGTATATAAAAAGATCTCCTACACTTTCCACAGTATGCATCCAATGAAGTGAGCTGTAGCTCACGAAAGCTTATGCTCAAATAAATTGGTTAGTCTCTAAGGTGCCACAAGTACTCCTTTTGTTTTTGCGAATACAGACTAACACGGCTGTTTACTCTGAAACCTGTCTATATAGTACGTTGGTTTTTCTCAAATGACATGAATTACTGTCTATTGCTGTAACATTCTAAGTGTTCAGTTGTATTCAATGGGTAAAAAAAAGTGTGTATTTTACTGATAGAAAACAGTGAGACAATTTTGGTGATCTAGTTAGCATTACTTTATTCATAAAATAACATTTTTGTTACTCTTCCAAGGATATGGTTTCACATAGTGCATGCAACCATTGGGTGTTCCTCCTGGCCCTGTCTGCCAGGCAAGGAGCCAGGCAAGAACAAAAAAAGTTTTGGCTCCCAGTTCTCTGTTTGGCTCTTCCTAGACTCTGCTCCCCAGTTGTTTCCTGCCTCCCTGCACAAAGGTAGCTGGAGTTTCCTGGCTGAAGCTTTCTTTTGTATCTGCGTGCCTTGGGTGGCTACCAGACTCCTTATGGAGTAGAAGAAACTGGGCAGGAAAGCTTTGCCACTTTTGCTCCAAATCACTATAGCAGTCTGTTGTGGTTTGCATTCTGTGCCTGAGCCCTTCCACTGACAGACTTGTTGAAGCCAGCCAGCAGCAGAAATTGCTAGCTAGTCGGAATCAGGTGATCATAACATGTTTCCCTGTTCTGCAGTACAGAATGATCAGCAGGGGGTCAGCCAAGAGATTTCTCTGGATGGATTCCAGTTTGAAGCAGAGGTAGAAGGGAGTGAGGAAGTTTTGTCCGTGCTGAACAAGGTTTATGCAGCCTTGTTGCTTCCTCCTGACAGAGACCATTTTTGTAGTCTCCAACAAGAAACCTCAGCAGGTCACTTCTCTTCACTTATCCAGCTCTCCAGTCTTCTCCAGAGGCTCTTTTGGGTTCTCTTGGGTTATTAAACATATGCTTCCAGGGAAATCCCAGAGGAAGGGGAAGTGGACAGATCTACTTTTATCCCACTCTAGTTGTATGTCTTCAGCTCCTTCTGCCTTTGCTTCTGACAGCTTTTCGGAGAGCCAAAGGAGTGTGTCCCCACTGGAATGAGCCATTCTGGTGCCTCACATCTAAGGCTTTAAATATTTTTTCAGTGGAGTTTGAGGCCTGAGTTGAGATGCTAGGATCCCCATGTTCCTGCAGCAGGGCTGTTAGGCGCTCATCTTCCTTAATCCTTTTCTGTCTCTGAAATGTTGGAAATGGTTTCTCCATTCCATTATGACTCTTGCTTCAAACAGGAAATTATGGGATTAGGGAGCACTTACATATTTATGGCTGCCTGCTTATCCTCTTCATTCATAGTGGCCATTCAGTTGTTGACTGAACTTCAGTCAGACAAACTCACAAATTGATCTACAAGAATCTCTCATGCTGGCTTTTGGCAGTCAACAGCCTAAATGACCTGCCTCAGGACTCTGAGTAGGAGCCAATATCATGGTTTCTTCTTTCATTCTGGTTTTGGTGAAGTGGCAGAAGGAAGAGGAATAAGTCTTTAAAATCTCATACATCGTCTTTTCTGGAGACCCAAGACTTCTCATACACCTCTGTGTCTCCCTATCCCACTAGAGATTTATAAGGTTCTTAGTGGGTCACTTTCACTTCCAAAATATCCCTCTGCCAGTCCATCTTATCAACATCCCCTGCCTAAACCCTCACGGAGATCATGGTGGTAATTTCGGCTGCTCTCACACTGGAAGGCTTCTTTATGATCCCATACCTGGATAACTGAGTCATTCAAGCCCAGTCCCTCCAAAAGACCATCCAGGCCCCTTGTGGTCAGGACCATGTCTTTGTTCTGTTTGTACAATGTCTGTCACAATGAGGTTCTGGTCCATGAATGCAGCTCCTAGAGGCCATCGTAATACAAATATATAGTAATAACAAGCAGTATCCAGATCTCCTCAGGTCATGTTCAAAACCCTGGGATTTGTGTTAAACCTGCATAAAAGCTCACAATCCCAATACCAGAGGCTGATCCTTTTGCGTACAGTCATAGACAGGAAGGAGGCAAAAACATGAACATCCACAGAAAGGATAGAAAAGCTGGAAGCTACCTGACCTGCAAATAGAGAGTTACTAGAGGCTGCCAATCTTGTCATGATCCGGTTCCATGCTCTGTTAAATCGTGTCAGTTCCGTATTCCTTCTTCAGACCCTTGGGGGAGTGCTGAAAGCAAGCTACAGGTTCACTTGGCAATAAAGGCGTCGCTGACCTGGTAGCTACATTGATCCAGTTCCCTAAAGTATTCCCTTCTGTAGGTGCCCCTCAATCTTTCCATTATCACCAGTGGCAACCTGAACTGGTGAGCACCCACTTCCCTTTTAGATTAGTGAAGGAGGAGTTGTTCCTTGGGAAGAGGAGAGATTTCACATTGACTTGCTAGAACTCAAAGCAGTTAGACATGTCCTGATATCCCTGAACCTTCCAGCAAGTCAGCATGTCCTGATCAGATTGGACTACTCTGTAGAAGCTGCTTTCATAAACCGTTGGGGAAAACCAAGAGTCACTTCCTAAGGGAGATGATCTTCCATTACTGAGCAGAGAGGAAATAAAGATCCTTAAGGATTCCTTTCATCTCCTTAGTTCTTTCAACAACCATTCTGCCTGGTTCAGCCACATGCTGGTCCACCCCAGTGAATGAACTCTCCACAAAGAAGCTTTCCAGTCAAGAGTTGCACTGTTTGACATTTCTTGCCTAGTCACATCCAACCTTAATTGTTGAACCACCACACTTCCTACCTCTGATATTGCAGCAGACGTGGACTCTGGTATCCTAGCTTAGGACTTGTTTGTGGGCAGCTTTTTTGGGCAGTGAGTCCTTGCCTCTTCCATCCTGATCTCTATAAAATAAAATCTAGAAAGCTGTGAAAGGAGGCTGGGAGCAAGGAACAGTCTGGGTCTGCGATGGCTTCACCACATCCCAGATTACAAATGATGCTAAGAGTGTCGTTGTTTTTTCAAAAAGTTGTTGGTTTAAATGTAGTAGCTGCAGGAATCCAGACAGGATGTTGGAAATGAAGTTGGCAAGGTACCTTGAAAACACCATCACATGTGCAAGGGTTGAGTGATCTAAAGGCAGATAATTCTCTTGCTTACCCTTGCCAATGTAAGGAGCCAGTTTTACTTGAATATTTTCCAGGGTGTCCATACTAGCCAAGTTGTGCAGTAAGGAAAACTGAAAGGCAGACTGATATTGTGACATTTTCTATTGTAATAGATTTGAGGAGTTAGGCACGTCCTAAATAGTGCACCTACTAACGTGTGCTGGGTGTTTATCATCAAGTCAGATAAGCTCATTCTGTTTAGACCCACGCTGCTGCGATCCAGCAGTTTCAGGGCACCAAATTCAGTTCAGTTTCTCCAGCATTCAGATGTTTTGAAGTCTTAACAGAAATGGGGAAACTAGGCATAGGATATGGGTTGGGATTGCCAGAGAGCACAGAGATTAAGTGGTTAGATTAAGTCAGTGTTTCTCAAACTTTTTATGCTGGGGACCTCCTTTGGTCTTAAGAAGAAAAAATCGTGACCCCTCCCCCAAAGCTTCAAAAGGTAGGGGGCTGAAGCTGACCGAGGCACCCCCTCTGGGCGTCACGGCTCCAAGGTTGAGAAACACTGCATTAAGCTGATAGTCAATGCCACCCAAGTAGAGTGTCTCTTAGTTACAGTATAAAAAACCAGCACTGCTCAGTAATAACTGTGACAAAGGCTCTTTTGTCCTAGCACATAGCCAATACATGGAGAAAGATACGATAGAACCAAAATGTGACCTTCCATTATTTATTTGTTCCTACTAAACTTTCCCAAAAGCAAGCAAAACTTTCTAACGTACCCCAATCTGGAATAGCCTGAGAAAATGGATGAGATTTGCAATGTACCATAAAAGCCAAGAGATTTGGGTTGGATCAGTGATGGAAGTGAGCTCCAGAGTTGGGGGTTCCCCACTAAAAATATTATTCATTCTTTCAGGTCTTAGTCGTACAACTCTAGGGTCAGCCAGTTCAAGTGCCTCCATTGACCTCCCTTATCAGATAAAGAAAGCAATTAAGGCAGTTTCTAAGGTAACCAAGACCCTAACCAAAACTGGCATAGCTCAGAACAAACAGCCTGAATTGCACTGAAAACCAAATGTGAACCTTTGCAGAGTGGAGCACAGGTATAATGCTCTGTGGAACACATGAAATAAGCTGGCAACTGTATTAGTTTGGGTTTCAGTAAATGAGAAGTGTAGCCGCAAGTAGAACTAGAACACAGAGTGGTAATTTAGTGAAAAGGTGACAAACGCATGGGTCACTTTGGCAGCTGTCTGCATCCACAAAGATCTGTTAAAGCTTTCTAGTCAGCTGAAAACGTGGTGGTGATGGTTGGGGAGGATGTGGGGAGAGCCATCATTTATTAATTACAATTCACTACACTGTCTCTATTTTTGTTCCATTTTATTGAATATAATGTTGTAATACCTGAATGTGAACAGTAATGGATCAGTAGTATTTATGGAGTATTACTGTCATTTTACATATATATTAAAGTTGTACCAGAGGCCCCAGTCAGGATCAGGGTCCCGTTGTGCTAGTGCTGTACAAATACACATAAAGACATGGTCCTTTCCCAAAAGAGCTTTTAATCTGAGAAGGCAGGTGACATGTAAAACAAGTGGGAGGCAGATAAATCCAACACAACATTTTATATACTTCTCTCTCCCTAATATATTGTTGGAGAGATTGGGCATCAGCTGTCCTCATCTGCTTCCCAACTTGCCTTTATTTATTGGCTGGTTTCTTATTTGCATCATGGCAATGACTAGTCTTGAGGAAGTGTGTGGTAGCCTTATGGATCAGTTCAGCAAGGGCATTCCGTGCGTTAAGGGGCAGTGTGAGAGGAGATGTAAGAAGCTGACAAATGGGCAGGCAAGGCTGGTATCATTGTAAAGGTGCCAAGGTGAATGATGAAGCAGAGAAGAGTATAATGAACATTCTAATCTGTTTCATTTTTACTAGTGCTAAGTAGCAACAGAAACTTACTTTTAGAAGTGTAGTACTTTCTGCATGTCTGTATTGTTATGAATGATGTAATACAACTGAAACAGTACACGCTAAAAAATGTTGCAGCATGTATGGTGAACGTAAAAATGCTTTTAAAAATTGAGAAGCACTTGTACATTTTTTTTTTTTAAGGATTGAGATCATTGCCTTGATATCATACAAAATCCATTTAATATTAATCTTTTCCAGCTGTTTTATGACTCAGCTGTACATGCCACATGAGGGATTTCCAGTTCTTCACAAATTGATACCAATTTTACAATTGGTAATCTATCAGTATTGTGTTTACTATATCCTATATTAAACTGGTCCCTCTCATAGTTTGGACCCATACTTTTATAGCCTTGGAAAACGAGAATCCAAATATTTAAAGTCTCAAACATTTTTTTTGTTCAGTGAATTGGGTAGAAACTAGATAAATACAGATTGCCATTACGCAATTTTATGCTGCAGTCCTTTTGGGTGATCACAGTTCAAAACATGTTGAACTGTTACAGGAAGCGAGTGCTGTAATAATGACTTTTAACACTAGTTGTTCTCTGGGACAGTGTTTTTGCTGAAATACTGAACAGTCTGTATTGTACAAAAAAGCAAAGGTATACACTTGGCTATTCTCAAAATTAGCCTAATTGATACAATTGTTATAGTATATCTGCTTTTTAGAGATAGACATGTGATCCTTACTAGCTCAATCCTTTTTAAAATTAAATTTTTGTGTTGAGGTTTTTAAAGCTTCCACAGACTCATTGGTAACTTCTGTGCTGTAATGACAATGTATTGTGATACAGCATTTCTGTATAATCTGCACCACAATGAGGTGTGTTGTAGCTAGAGGGACCTTTCCCTGGTCTATATTGTACCACTGCATATTATAAACTTTCAGGCAAAAAAAATCATTAATTTGGAGTAAAGTTTGGGATGAAAAGCTGTCATTCCAGGAAAACAAAATTAATAGAAGAAAGATGTAATTTTTTTGTTTTTAATGGAAGCAGCCTGGAAATTTGGAACTAAGGCTCCACTTAAACATATTACACAGGTAAGATTACCAAATAACTTTTAGCTTTGCCTTCACTAGTTCACCTCATTCTGAATGAGGCCATGTCAGCCAAGCAAAGGAAATTCCTAAGCCAAGCTGCTTTAAAAAAAAAAAAAGAGAGAGAAAGTTAATAGACTTTTGAAGGGGTTGGAACGGGATTTGTTTTTTTCTTTAATTTTCTTTGGCAGGCTGGGAAGAGACTCCTCGTATTTCTTAATGTCTTTTTGCCTTAAATTTTCCAGAAAAGTTCTACTTCATGACATGTAAGCCCATGTTAGATTCCAAATTGGTAGAAGTTTGGTGAAGTCATGGAGTAGATAAAATCAGCCTTAATATAGAATAGGAGGTTGACCTTAACTGTGGAGTTGCTACTGAATCTCCATATTGACTTTATAACGTGATTCTAGACAGAAAATTGACTATGTAAAAAAGGGAACTACTTATTCAACTTCTCCTTCATATTTTCAAGTTATAGCTGCGTACTTCACTGACGCAACTCTATTTTTAGTTAATATTGAAAAGTCAACGCAAGTATGAGAGAAGGAGCATCATCATCATCCAATTTGTTACCTAAGCTATTCTAAGTGTAGAAACTTATTGATCATATTACAGATAGACAAAGCTTGATTTAGATTTCAGGTGGAGTTTGCAGGATATGCAGTTAGGAAATACTTAAGACTTAAAGTGAACTAATTTTACGATGAATCATTGATAGACAAAAAATGTGGAACCTCTCCAATTTTAGATGAATTGCACTTTTGCTGTACAGCTTTCCTTTTTGGTATATTTTCTTGAATCAAATAATGCCATGTGACTGCTGCTGTGTGACTTATCAAGGAAGTAAGATGAGATTTGTTTGTTTAAATATACACCTTACCAAGGTTTTCAGTAATTGTCTAATTTTAAAAAGTGCTAAACATCCAGCCACCATGAACATCAGACCACTTATTTAGGTGCCTAAGTATGGGTTTGTGAGCCTAACATGGCACTCATTTTTTTAAAACCTTGTCCATACGTGTTTTCTTCCATTTGGTAAATTTTACATTTTAATTGTATTTTGTTTTTGTTTGGCAGGATGAAGAAAATGGAAATAGAGGAGGTATGCATTTTCATTTTTTTTATTTTAGTATTCCTTATTTATCATTCATCAATGTAACAGGTGTGCGTTGTAATGGCTATTTAAGATCTCTGACTTAAAAATTAAGTGTGAGACAGTGCAAGTGTTTTTATTGATCCTCACACGGCTTTGGAGCAGAAGTCCATTAAGCACAAGAGGCGATATATTCTATCACCCCTAACTCTTTTTAACTTGAAAAGCAGTGTATTATGTAAGTATAGTGGCAATGCTATGAAGTACACTATATAATCTTCATGGAATAACTGTAATACTGTAGCTCTCATATGAGTACTATGTGAGAAACCAACTGGCTTAGCTTTTTAATGCTTAGGCCATGATCCTTCATTATGATCCACACAGATGCAGTCCTGTTGACTTCAGTAGCACTCCACGGAGGTACAGTATACAAATCACAATGCAGGACTGGAGCCTGATTCTGTATACAAACCATTTTCTCTGTATATTGTGGGCAAGTAATAACTTTATGGTTTCTGATCAGTTTGTTCTGGTGAAAGCAAGCCAGCACTTGGAGAAGTCAGAATATAAACCCAGTGCATAACATTGGCTGGAATTGAAATAAGCTGAAACATACCCACAAATGTGGCATGTAAATTTTAGAAAAATAGCTGCCTATAAACCTAACTATATGCCCCTCAGAATTTTAACAGTATTAATTTGTCTTCTCATCAGCTCTAGTATTCTGCCAGTCTCATTTTTCATTCCCTCTGAAATAAGACCTGTTGAACATAGTTTAGAGAGATTCAAGAAAATAAATGTATATGTAAAAGATTGTACACTGCACTTAATTTAGAGGAAAAAACCTTTTATCCATTTGTTTTTCTGCCAGTTTCCATTTTTTCCAGCCTTGTGTATAATTTTTTGCTCCCCCTTTATTTAATTGCAAATATTAACTTATTTTAGAAACCAGAGCAACATCCTGCTTAATTTAATTTTCCCTTTGGCACTTACTGTTGTCTATTCCCTGCTCCCTTCTTCCTCTGTTTTCTTTTTTCTTCCTTACAGTGATAAGTGGTTTTGATCTGTGTGAAGAATTTGGCTTGCAAATTAAGGGGGCCCAATCAGGCTTTCTTTGCTTACCTATAACTCCAATTGATTACTGAGGGATTTTAGGGAATGCAAAATATTTGATTGGGCCCAAAGCAAGTGACTGAACATAACATCAAGTGTTTGGATCAGCATTGAGTTTAATGTACAAATGCGGCTCTCTGAAGATGGGCACATTCCAATACTGATCTCTCTGGAGAGAAGCATGCTTTTTTTAAAGAGAGTTAAAAAGACATGATCTCAAATTGGTATTTTGTGTGTTTGATGTGTGTCTGTGGTGCCTCAGGAGCAGACTAGGGAAGGAACTGTGAATCTCCTTGGATCTCCTTTTCTTCTACTGGTCGAGAAGATTATTTCCTTCGTCCACCCCCTTACCCCCCGCCAGCTCAGCTGCATTGGCTAACATGTTATGGGCTGGAGCCAAGCCTGTGCTCAGTCTCTGAGCATCTATTCCGTGCCAACCAGTGCCAGAAAGGAAGTAACAGCCATATGGAGACTGTGTTTTCTCATCTGTGCTAGGATACACTGGACACACAGCCTGCAGAGGAGAGTACCACCCCATTACTCCCTTGGCACAGGCGTACACAGCAAGGAACATCCTTGCCTTTGGTGCTGAAAGGAGTCAGTCCTGTGCATGGAACAAGTACAGAATATACAATAACAAATGAACCACCACCCTGAAACTAAATGCATTTGTTATTGACAAGGTGCTGCAGCACTCCCCCATGTGGTCATAGGGATAACCTGATCAGCTACAGGCTTAGATCAATATTTATTTACCTCAAATTTTGTTCATCCAAATAGTCTCCTGAGATCTGTTTCTCAGTGGCCTGTACCTAATGCTTCAGAGGGAAGGCAACAGTCCCAAAATTTACTCAGCCCATTGTATAATGTGGTACAAGGTGGGGACAAGATTCGTTTCCTGAAAGGATTGGTTAACAGTTTACACTAAAGTCATCAGATTATTTATTACAGCAACTTAATATGTACTAGGTGCCTTGCAATACACATCAAAGACATGAACCCTGCATTGGGAAGATATGTAATATTAGAGAGAGTGTAACAAGGAGTAGTAAGATGGAGTTGATAGAGAAGAAAAGGGTTAGCATCAGTAAGATAACATGGTTCCTCACAAGAACCAGCGTACAGCATAGTGAAAATTTGTGTGTGTGTAAGGAATAAAAAACACCTGCAGGTCTCACTGGGTAATTTCTTGTCAACTGCATGGATGAAATGGGCCCCTAAGAAAGGACTTGAATCAGGATAGGGAAGTGGCTTTATAGAGACGCTCAGGGAGGTTCTATGTAGCCAGGGACCATGGCTTTTTTGGGAAATGGTTTTGTGTGACAACTGGATGGATTGGATATTGGAGCTGGCATTGTAGAGACTAGTAAAATAAAGACAAGATTGGAAGGACTGTGGGACGTTATTGACATGATCAGATCAACTGGCAAAAGCGTGTGTTCTTAGCTATCCACTTTGCATGGATTATAGGGTGGTGATGTGGGAATCAGAGTGGGTGGATACAGTAATGAAGAAGGAAAACAATGAAAGCATGCACAAGAAGTTTGAACTGAAATAAAAGGTTGGTTATAAAGAATTAGTGGAAGAAGCAATGGCAAGATCTGGACTGTCTGGATGTATGGGGTAAAGGGGAGGCCTTGATGAAGATCCATAAATTATGTGCATAGCTTTTATTAAGAGTGGGTGGGTGGGGGGGAACAGTGCTTTTGAGAGAAGATGTGTAGTGGAAGAAGCCTGTGTACTCATGGAATTTTCTCAAGAAGCATTCAGCAGTGCAGAAAACGAGGAATCAAATACTTGGGGTGAACCAAAACAAAGGTTCAAGATCAGTGGGATGGCCTTTGGGAGAGAACGGCAAAGGAATCAAAACTGAAGGGGAGGGATTTGACTACAGAGTCAGAAGTGAGGAAGGGAAGTGAAAATAGGTCATGAATGGTGATTTGATGATCACAGAAGCAGTACGGGCAGAGTGCGTGGCATTAAATATGATTGTTTGAGGTCACGGTTATTTTTTAGCAAAAGTCAGGCAGATTGTAGGCAATAAACAAAAATCCAAGGAAGCCCACAACCTGTCCATGGTGGGGCTGACCGCCTGGCAGGAGGCTGAAGCCTGAGTCTCACTGCTTGTAGGGATAGGTGTGTATGTGCTTATAGCCCAGAGCTTTGCTGCCTGGGGTGGGGGTGGAGGGGCGCTGACAACCTGGAGCCCTGCCACTGCAGGGCAGTCTGACAGCTCAAGGCAAGGAAGTTACGGAGGTACATTAAAGTCACGGAATCCATGACCTCTGTGACGAAATCATATCCTTCAATATAAGTGGTGGGCGGGGCGGGGAGAAGAACACAGATGTGGAAAGATTAGAGGAGGGGCAGTATTAGCTGAAGATAAAGTTAAGGTGAATAGCCAGGCTTGCTTGGTATTTTATCTTAATATGTGATAGTGTTCATGTTCATACAGTGTTGCTAGAACATCCTTTAGTACCCTAAACAGTATAAGGCAGGACACTTGGTCCAAACAGCAGAAGTGTTGTTACTATTTCAGCATATTCTACACTGATATGACCTTAGACTTCAAGAAAAGCAAAAGGCACAGCACATTTTAGAGATCATCCTCGATTGTATTTGGGTTTTTTTGGATGGGATAGTTGAGGTTAAGATGTTGGATCTGCTTTCACCCAGGGTGCTCTGAAGTCTTGCTGCAAGAAAACTCAAGGCAGCCTGGAGGTGGACAAGCAGGTGGGTGCAGTTGCCAGAGCGAAAAAGGCTTCTGCAGTGGTGCCGAAGCAGTTTCAATTTTATGTTACCTGTTCCCAAAATAGGAGAAGACCTAGCATGCAGGGGCCCAAATCAGGACGCCTACACCCATACACTGTTTGTAATTGAATGAATTAAACAGTTTCATTTAATGTCTTAAAGTAGAAATTAGTAGCAAGTTTCTGTTAGGCAAGCTTTAAGCACGAAACTCATGTTTAGTAAAATTATGATGTGCCGAAATGAAGGTGTGCTTACATAGGCCTTTGTCATCGTAAATAAATGGCCTACCTAAGAAAGCAGGTAATTGAACGTGGGAAGTTACCAGAAGTTGCTTTTGCACGTGCAAATTGACGTATGTCTGAATGGTGGTAGGCTATCCCATCTGGGGATCACTCAGATTTGTTGTTTTATGGAACAGAGTTATTGGGAAATATGTAACAAAGGAGCCATCTAGTGGCAACTTCATTAAATAGGTTTAAGCTTAAGGAAGGGTTTTTTGTTTTATATTAAGGCAGTATCACTTATGACTTTGCAGTAACATGCTTGCTTATTTTTCCTTTAGCATGTTTAGATTGCTTGGCAAGATAAGTTAGCAGAGTAATTTATAAAATACTTTTTCCAGAATTGGTGTTTTTAGGTTTCATGAGTATCATCAAAGACTCGAAAGGGATTAGGGGAGCAGCGTAATTAACACTTTTTTTGGTTGGGGTGGGGACAGGAAAAGTTAGTACAAAAACTTAGTGCAGAGGTTATGTAGATAGAGTACAGTATCACTGATTTGGAGAGAAATCTTTTTAAAACTGAAATTGATTAGGGTTAAATATTTTCTGCATAAAGATTTGACTTGTAGTTTTCTTAATTTAAAGGGTTAATTGTAAATATGAACTTTTTTTGAAGCATTCAGGTAGCATTTTCACTTGAAGCTTAACTTGATCAAAAATTAACCTAATGCTATATAGGGGGTCCGCAGTATACATCGGGGTTGCGTTCTTGAAAAGGGCAATGGATACATGGGGTCCCTGGTATACGTCTTCCCCCTTATCTGTCGTTTCGCGTATCCATCACTCCTCAATAGGGGAACGTGTTCCGATTCACATCGGTCCCGATCCACATATTCATCACGTCACCTAAGCACCCACAGA